CCTTCCTTCTTTCCTTATTCTAAATCCCCACCAGAGAATGTTTATTGATTTTAGAGAGAGAAGAAAGAGGAGAGAGAGAGAAAGAGGAACATCAATGTGAGAGAGAAACATCTATTGACTGCCTCCCAGACAGGCCCTGACCAGGGATCAAATGAACCCGCGACCCAGGTATGTGCCCTGACATTCCTGGTGTCCCGGACAATGCTCCACCTAACTGGGCCACCCGGCCAGGGCATCAGGGAGAATTCTGATTCTTAGTCATAAACTTGTAACTAACACCCTAGGTTGGCAGTGTGATTTGTTCCGGTGGTTACCTGCTCCAACAACTTTGTCGATGGATATGTTGGTGGCGTCCAGTTCCTTAGCAAACTCATGAACCGCTTGCGTGGGATCTTCGTATGTGTGTGGGTCCACGTAAGTTCTGAGGCCTGGAAGCTTTACTGTTTAAAGCAAGGATGAAAACATATTATTGTCACTAGATTTATAAAATCTTTGTTGCACAAATGTCATAGCATCATTGGTGAAATATAATCCCCATTATGATAAAGTGCACCAACCTTCAGTTTATTCTGAGATATCACAGAAATCGGCACGCAAAGGTTGGACTAAGCGTTGAGCAACTTAATAAAAAAAGTTCCCGGTAATGAAACTTAAAGAGGAACCAAAATGAGCTTTCTCTGTAAAAAACACTAAGGGCTAAAAGGACATTCAAGGAGGGGTCCCAAGGAGAAGATGGCTCAGATTGTATAGGCCCAGTGATTTCACCAGTAGCATCAGTGAGCAAGCACCTTCCCCCTATGGCACCTTTATGATTCTACAAACAGTAGCCAAGTATCTATTACAGTGCCGCAGCCTACAAGAAATAAAAGTTTGTGAAATGTTTTCATAAGGTGGGATGAGTGCTGTAATTACAGATAAATTAATTAAAGGCTATAAAATGGCATGTCTTCTGTCTGACACTGTTCTGCTTTCATTAAAATATAATCACAATCAAAATCCTCCACAACTATAGGTCTACTTTAAGCTGTGAGTTTATGTATATGTGATATGGGTATTATATATAGACAAGTATTGTCTATAGGTTTAATAATGGTGCTAAGGAGCTAAATTTCAAACATAAATCATATTATAGCTTACTGAATATAAACCTCCTTTATAATTGTTTTAAATGTGAAAATATTTCACGATATTCTGTAATCAAAATAGCAAAGACAAAAGTTGTTTTGGATTTGATTTAATATTAATTAGGTTCCCATCATTTGGAACCATGGCTCATCTTAGAAACAATTTATAATGCTCAATAACCTTTCTTTGAAAGAAAACTAAATTTTTAAAAAGCGAGCCTAAGATCTATTAAAGTGCATAAACATGCTCTAACATTAAAGGAAATTGTAATTTAACTCCCATAGTATATGTACTGATATTATTGGTTTTCCTTTTAATTTTGGTAACGTTGATAAAAAAAATTGGTGACATTGTTTTAGTAAGGGACATGGTTGCTTAATGACAATATCTTTTTTTCAGTGATCACACTAGAATATTTAATAATTATTTTATCCTAAAATAACAAGTAAAATAAGACTACCTTTTCTAATATCACTTTGCAATGAAAGAACCATTTTGGCAAAATTGCAGCTGAACATTCTGCGGTAGTCGAAGGTTTCTCGCGTCAGTGTGGTAGTTTGTATGAAAGAGGTGTGGAAACTCTGATGACAGCAATTGTTCTGAGAGGCTTCAGCACAGTGGACATTAGGCCTGAGAGTCCAGATTGCAGAGTTTAGCTACAAAACGATCAGTTTGTGGACCTGCAGTATAACTTTGTGAATGCCATGGTTATACCACATAATAATTTATACTTCTGCAACGATTCCATAGAGGTTTTGAGTACAGAATTATAGACATGAACATTATTTTTTAAAAACGGTGGCCAGGAGAGATGGGAGGTAAAACTCTATTTTCCTCACTGCTTCTTCAGATGATTGTGAGATAACAAAATAGAAATGGGAGAGTGAGAGAGCAAATGGAGAACACAGAAGAAGGAAGGCCCACGCTGACCATGTAAAGGAGTAGCTGCTCTGTATCGAGGCAGAGCGTAGATAACTTGAGGGAACATCAATCGCTTAGGGAGTCAGTACCCTCAGAAATGGGGAAGCAGCAAGCCCTTTGCCCTTGCTTTGGGCAAACTATGTGTGCAATAGCTTTTGAAGTTGTTCTATTTTGAATAGTTCAGCAAAAAGAATTAGCTAGACATCATAGAAAAGAAAGCTTTTGAAAGCTTGCTACTCAAGTGCCTAACATGAGTGCCTGTAATGTAGCTAGTGCCCTCAAGTGTCGTCATTAGTATTTTTATGTAAGAAAGTCTATTCGCAATTATTAATATTGTTAAGGTTTCCTGGGCACAGGATTTGGGCTCAGAAATGCCCGTTTCTTTTGAGATCACAGATTGGTTTGAATGCTTTTGCCCTTATAATAAATGTTATTGCTTACTATAAAAACAGACAGCAGACACCCTTTAGTACAGTGGCCTACTATAAGTTATTACTACTCTAAAACAACTCCTAGCATTATCAGTACAAAAAAGCACTTTACCCTTAAAACAAGCAAACAGATTAAGGAAATCTATTATACTTTCAAACTCTCATACAAAGAAACACTTTGGAGTAAGGAAAACAGTAAAAGTAACCATAGACTTACTCAAAGATGTTAAAAAATAAAGCCTTGCCAGGATTTTTTTTGTTAAGGCAATTTGGTTACATTTTAATAAAGAGTCACATGAAATGGAGGCTACGATTTGTGATCAANAGTAACCATAGACTTACTCAAAGATGTTAAAAAATAAAGCCTTGCCAGGATTTTTTTTGTTAAGGCAATTTGGTTACATTTTAATAAAGACTCACATGAAATGGAGGCTATGATTTGTGATCAATCAGTTTTGCTTTTTCTCTACTTATAGTAAGGTAAGGAAATGGTAACGTGAGAAGAAAATCAAGCATTTTTCCCCCCAGAAAAACTCAACAAACACACACACACAAACTTTAAAAATAAGGTAAAAATTTTTCTGGCTCAATTTATAGAAATCAACTTGTGAGAGATTTACCAACATCAGAATTTACAAAGAAAATCATAAAATAAGATGTTGGAAACAATGTCTCAAATATTTTAAATAAGCACTTGCTTTAAAAAGCCTTGAAATTGTGCTTTCCAATGACCCTTCCATACCTGCCGGCCCTAGAGAGGGATGTATTACTAAATAATCTGAGAATTAAATAATCATTCCCAAGTAAAACCAATCAAATTGATTTCGATTTATGAAAATCAAGTAAATAGCTTTTCTATCCACATGACATTTGGGGAAACAATACAAATACAAACACACACACACATCCCTAAGTCAAATGGCTTGTTCACTGTGGCGGCTTTGGCTGCTAATTTTTAACTGCTGACCCCAGAGATTCCAGGAATCAGGTGAGTCAGGATGCAAGGCCCATAATCCCCTCACACCAATAATTAAGGGCAACACACAGAGTAACTGGGCTGTGTCAAGAAAACCAGATAATAAACACATGCACACGTGTTAAGCTGCACTACTTTACAGCTCGTTCTGTGCAAACACAATAATTTACATTTCCATTTTACCAGCATGAGTTGCCCTAAGGATAGCAAAAAGTAGAAAGGCTCAGCCAGAGAGGGCAATGGGACAGGATCTTAGAAGGTGAAACACATTTCTTTCCTTTTGAAGCTATATTATGGGATTTGTAACAAGGCTGGAGGGAATAGTTCATAGCTAGAGCTTTTTAAGGTAATACCAAATAAATGGTCTGAAATAAACCAGCTGTAGCATTAAGACGCAGAAAGTTTATGACATGCAGATAAGTTACTTTATGCCCTTGCAGCTAGGATAAAATGGATTTCTTTTTTGTTTGTCTATCATAAGAATATTGTGCAGTTGAAGAAAATTAAAGTTTCAACAAACTTCACCATGAAAACCAACAGCTAAAACAGATCAGAGTGATAAACGAATCCACTTAAAATTGGCACACAGGAATTGATCAATGCCCCAAATTCATGAGATTTATAATTCCCATAAAAAAACCCCAATCCTTATGGTTTTGCCTTAAAAACAATATTTACATTGATTGTCCAACACAAATTAAAAGCAACCTAATCCAAAGGAATGTAACTGTTCTGAGTAATTTACGCATGGCAATTTTCAGTGTTTTGTGAGACGATGAAGAAAAAGCTAGAAACGTAACCTGTAATTGGGTCATGCACGCTTTTAGAACTTCTGGGTTCGTAACCTAACTAATCTGAAATGGAGAAATGTTGATACTAGGAAGGTAGTATTTTGGCTTTTTTGTGAATTATTCTCTAATGATATCAATGAGGTGGACAAAACAAACAATGCTCTCTGTAAACCCTGGTACTGTGTCAATATCACATTCATTTACATTTTGGAAAACATTTTTTTTCAAGCTACTGGATGCTTCCTGCATGTTACCAACAGGTCATCGAGTTTTTACTTGAGTCACAATTGAAGCTATACTTTTTAGATACAAAGCCAATGACTGAAAACGAAGTCTCATGTCAATTTGAAAATGGTTGTAGAAGGCCACAGTGAATGCCAAAGAAAATAATGTTTACGAGACTACACTAGTTACACTGAGATTATTTGAGACACATCAGCATGAGTCCCTCTCCATACTAATTTCCAGGAGAGCGTGCTATTACCTTTAAGGATACCGATTAGTCTTTGCCACATGAAACTGAGCCACAGTCTGGAAAAGCAAAGAACCTGGGATGATTTGTTTCACCAGAAGAAAAAAAAATGAGTCTTTTTACTTGACATAAACACTTTGTTTCCTAAAAGAGTATTAGAAAATATTTTTTAAAAAATACTGTAACGGCTGTTATTAAAATATGGGGGGGAAAGTGCTGGCTTTCCTACCGATCGGATATCATGTAACCTCAAAATAAACAGTTTACCCTAAAGGCGCTCTCCTGGTTGGCTGACAAAAAGGAGTAAGGCACTTTTATATCAACAGAGGTTGTTTATATTTACCTGGCAGCTAGGGAGGGAAAAAGGATCCTATTGAGATTTTTAACAAAGGACTAGTAATAAGGAAACTGAAGATACCCTGTGCCTTTCAGCTGCACAGAGCTGACTCTCCTGAGTCCCTCATGTGCGCGATTCGAATGTAAAGTGCAGGCCACCCTTCGCTTTAGCTGAGTCCGCTTCCACGTGGCCGGGCAGAAATGCCTTGATGCAGGGCCACGAATTTCCTCCTCTGTTTAAAATAAACTTAATTTGCTCATTTTCTTTTTCCATAAAACTACTTTTGAAGTCTCTCTGTCAGGGGAAAGTTACCCAGTTTTAGGTGAACAACTGCTGAAACAGAAATGGTAAAACTAAAACACCGAAACAGCTGAGAAACTTACAGTGCCCGTTCCCAAAATGAAGCCTTTTTTCATCTGCACCGTGTTTTGACTTGTTATAGCCACAGAACCTAGAGGGAAATTAAGGAAAGAGAACACAGAAAGAAAACATACATGAAACGACGATCTAGGCTCAGAACATGCAAGGCACAAAATACGCAGCATTTTTCTTAAACAATTAAATGCTTTAGTGAAAGTTTAATGGCCTCCTATTTTCTAAACCCTCTATAGAAAGCCCCTTTCTCTGGGGACCCTGGAGAGCTGCCTAATGAGGAGACAGGTAGGGTTGCTTCCCCACTGTGCAGACCCCTTCAGTCGAGTTTTTATAATGGCCTTAGAAGGTGTTTATAGTATTTTTTTTTAACAACTGCTGTTAGAATGAATGAAAGGTGAGGCCTCCATTGTTAGCGATTGGAGCTGTGCAGCGTTACCATGTTCTGGGTGAGAAAGCGTCAGGGAAATGTGGTGCATATTTGAAGAGTGAAGGGATCATTGGAAAAAACACACAAGTAAAAAGTGGGAATGAGTTCAAAATAGAGAAGAGGAGGGATGTGTATTGGAAGCTGGGGTTGGAATGTAATGGGAAAAAAAAAAGATAAGAAAAACTGAAGATGTGGAAACAAAAGAAAGGGAAAAGATCTAGAATGCCAGTGGAGACATTCTGATTTGTTCAAGTACATTAGTGACCACACCTCAGTTTTAGCAGCGATCGCAGGGACAGGCCAAGCAAGAATGAAAGCAAGTCAGAAAACAGGCTGTGGACTCACCGTCCGATCAAAACGTAGGTGACCACGGTGAGCAGGATGATCGCCACGGCCGCGGAAATGGCAATCATGACCACTTGGCTGTTTTCCCCCGAGATGGAGAAAGCTGCGAGGCGGAGGAGGGACAGCTTTAGAGGCCAGGATCAGCGCATCATCACTAACGCCTGCCTGGAAAATCTGCTCAGTTCAGGCATTTTTATCCGGCTTTCACCAGAAATATGGCTACTGTCTGATATAATGTAGAAGTAATTCTTCAATAAAAAATAGACATTTCCTATAATTCTGCTTGAAATTTATAATTAATAAGATTAAATATTCTGTTTCAATGGTGTCAATCAAATATTGCTTGAGTGCCTCCTGTGTGAAAGGTGCTGGACTGCTTTCTGTAGTCCTCAGTGGCAAGAAACTCAATGGCTCGACCACAAGTTAGCAGAAGTACAACACAGAGAAGAGACAAGATTCCTCAGAATGCAATTATAAAAGTGTCCTAATTAAGGTCGTTTGGTCTCCAATATCTCCATTTACTTAAAAGGTGGTAAAATACCTGTCTTATGGGCCTCAACATATACCACCAATGAGCTGTTCCGCTCTGTGCATTCCCTGCCTTTGTAAATGGCCCATCACTCATTCACTCACAAAGTGCTGGCAAAAATCACCCAGGAGCAAAGTCTGGCCTGCCATCAGCTTTGGTATAACTCAGGAGCTTAGAATGGTTTTACATTTCTTAAAGGTTGTAAAAAGTCAAAACGAGAAGCTTTTGTGATATGAAAATTTTATAAAATTTAAATTTTGGTGTCCAAAAATAAAACTGTTCTGGACACATTCATTTATTTGTGTATTGTTTGTGGCTGTTTTTATGCTGTAATAAATAGCCAAGTAGGGTAGAAGCAACAGATACTATATAATAATACACAAAGCCTAAAACATTTACTATCTAGGCCTTCACAGGAAGTTCACTGATCCTTGACTATACCAATGCCTCTCAATGTTCATACAAACCACTTGAGTATCTTTAGGAAAAAGCAGTTTCTAATTCAGTGAGTCTGGATTGGGGTCTGAGACTGTGCATTTCTTATGAGCTCCCAGCGATGCTGATGCAGGTGATCACAGACCACAAGGTTTGGTAACAAAGATGTGGACCATGACCTTGTCCACCCCCTCTCCTGACCATTCCATATCTGGTTAATCACAAAGTCCTTTTAAATATCTCAGTTTATGTCTTTCTCTTCTGGATTACAATGAAAAATTCCTTATTAGTCTCCACCTAATTGCCATTCCCTTTCCCTGGCAACCAGAGTACTCTTTCAGAACCATGAATTTGATCATATAATCTCATGCATAAAATTTTTGCAAGTTCTGTAGCAAAAAATGTAAAGCTCCTTAAAAATCTGTCCCCTGTCTCAATCCCCAGCTTCATCTGCTAACAAACTCCATGAATGTCCTATCTCTAGACTTTCTAAACACATGCAGTTCCTGGAACAACCCTTTTATTTGCTCATACTTTAACCTATATTCCTTTTGTGGTAAAGCTGCTTGAACAAATGATGTATAAAAAAAGAGCTTAGAAGAGTGAATTTGGTTATTTGAACACCATTGCCTCTCCAGGAGAAAGCCAATGTCATCATCTCAACATGATCAGAATCTATCCCTGGAAGGTTTCTCTAAAATAATGCAGTTTTAGGACTAGTTAAATGATGCAAAAAAAGAAACATGGCTGATAGCCCGTTAGAAGTTTTCCAAGCATTTAAAAAAAGAGCTCTGGGCCTGCAAGATGGCCTGCACACTCGTAACATAAACTGTTGCTGCCCTTTATTCTTTCCTACCGGCGAGCTATTGTTTACACCACTGTGGCAGTGCCGGGAGTGCCTGCTTGGATCTGCCCGCCGCCTGCCTCGGTGGGCGGACGGCCTCCAGCTGCTGCACCTTCAGGCCCCGCAGCCTCCACGCACAGGCCAGGCCTCCTCAGTGACTGCACGTGGCACGGGGCCTGGAGCCAGCCAGCCTCTGCCCGGGACAGGGCTCCTTCACTCGGGGGCGCCCCACCGAATTGGGGAGACCCTCAGAGCTACACTGCTGCCTGAGGCTCCTCCCCCTCAACCCTTCCCTGTCCCCCCTCTCTTCACAGACGGCTGAGTGCATCTCAGTCTGAGGAGCTGTGCCCACTCCTGCTCCACCCCTTTACTGGTCCTCTGTATTTCCCCATAAAAAACTTCCTTTATTCTGTCTTAATATCTGCTTCCTAAACACCTGAAGTGATGCATCCCTAGCCCTTTGCTATAGATATGTGAATAATTTGTCGAATAACTTAACCTAGCAATTCAATAATCTCCATAAACATATAATAATAACTCTCTCTTATGCTTTTCATGTTGTGTACTATCATATCTTATAGAGAGCAGCAAGTTCTGAATACTCTGGTAGATCTTAGCCAGTTTTAAAAATAAAGGTGAGCAAAATCAGGAGGGGAAACATGAGAGAAGAAAGCAGACTGTTTCTTTTTCTGTCCAAGACAGGATGAACTCAGACTTCTCTGCCATTTCCACTAGCTGTAAATATCTATGGATCCCAGAGACTATGAAAAGCACATACAAAATCAGATCATTGTTTGTTACTGAAATGAGCAAACATTTGAACAAATAATATTGATTAAAAGTGTGTTAGTGCCTCAGGGATTGAGCATCTATCTATGATCCAGGAGATCGCGGTTCGATTCCCGGTCAGGGCTCATGCCCGGGTTTCGGGCTCCATCTCCAGTGGGGGGCGGTGCAGGAGGCAGCCGATCAATGACTCATCACTGATGTTTCTATCTCTCTCTCTCTCCCTTCCTCCCTCTAAAATCAATAAAAATATATTTTTTAAAAAAGTGTGTTACAAAGTTGTTTAATAATTTTACATGGCATGCTGTTAAAAGTTGATATCTATTACATGTCTTAGAAATTCAATTTAAATGTTTTCCCACAAGCAAAACGCTCCCCCTATTTCAAGTAGCATCGTGTCGAATTTCTCTCCCTACATCCACTGCTTGTGAGCTCGCTCTCCTGAACCAGAATTCATAGATTTGTACTTATTTGCTGTGTGACATAACATGATGTAAGGATTAAATGAGTTAATAAAGCAAAAACACTTAGAACAGTGCCAAACACATAGTAAGTGTTTAATAAATGTTATATATTTTTAGTATTTCATCCCCCCAGTGAAAAAAACTAGCAAAAGTGTGCTATTTTCTACAAAATAACCTAAGATTGTTTAATTCACTATACAGAATTCTCTATATAGTGATTCTACTCTCTTGTCAGGGTGCCTTAATGCCCCCTAATAAAAGGGTCTAAGAGATTAAAGTTGCTGCATACCAACTTATTAAAAACAATGTAAAGGAGGTGGGAAGCATCCAGGGGTGCTTATTAAATTGTTTCCTGGACTCATCTTCTTGGATAGTAATAACCACAGAATCCTCCAATTCCAAAACTTAACTTTACTTGCCATATTTTTGTTCTTGAAATTCCTTTGATGTTCAAATTATGCACTATTATATAGACACACACACATACACACTACCTAGTAAACCAAGGAATATTATAAGCACTTTACAAATAATAATTGATTCAGTCACCATAAGTACTCTATTGAGGGCGCAGTTTCTGCCCACTGACGGTTTCCAGACAGATGGACTGTCTGCTTTCCCAAACCTGCCTTATTGCTGGTACGCCCGGCTTCGGTGGATGGTGCCTTTACTCTAGGAAAGTCCTTTGACTCTTATACATTCTATATTTTCTATGACTCAGTTTAACATCTTTTCCCTTAGTATGTAAATGGCAGCACTGAATCAGTAGTTACCCACAATCTGGAGATTGTAGGCTCATTGACCCCACTTACTAACCATGCAACCTCAGAAAAAAATCATAAATTCTGTGTCATAGACTGTGTATAAAAATAAATAATAGTGTCTGAGTAGCTTTCAGAACAGGATCAAATAAAATGTTTATTAAAATGCTATGATTATACTGTCACATAAACATATGGGTTCTAGACCCGTCACCCACCCGTCGTGTGACTTCGGAAAGCTTACTTAACCAGTCTATGTCTCAGTTTCCTCATCTGTTCAAGGAAGGTGATTGTAAATTTAAAGCACTGATATATAAAAAGTAAAACATTTTAAATCACCTTTGAAAATATATGCTTCACTCTGCCTCCATACTTTTACTATAAATCAAGTTCAGAAAATGTTCTCTGAATTCCAGCTTAAAATACGCTATACTTGACTAAGAAATATTTGTGTGTTATGAATAAGAACTTTTCATGTGATTTATAAACATAAAAACCAGAGGAAAAAGCAAACTTACAGAAATCTAAACATGTCTTTTTTAATATCTATTAAATATCAATATATAACAAAGAAGAGTCAACGTTTTAGAGTCTTTTATGAATACGTATTTTTAATTTGTGGTTGGGAATCTGCCTCTGCAGAGGACCGATCTAAATTATGTGTGGATTTTTGACTACACAGGTGGTCTGCACCCCAGCCCCCGAGATGTTCAAAGGTCAACTGTATATCATTTTCATTTTAAAAAATGGAGTGAGAATTGATTTTATCTCCTTTCCCTTAAAACAATGGGCACTATTTTTCATCTATATTTAAAGTCTGGAAGAATTCTATGGTAAAGCAGTAAGAGTAAATTTATATTTTTTAACAAAACAAACTGTGCAACTCAACTTTTTTTTTTTATAACTGGAGAAGCAGATGTTAAAAAGTTTGTATTTTTCTTTTTATCCCCTTTTTATCTGCTCTCTCTCAGTCAATGTAAGTGCTACAAATATAAAACTTATTTGGCTAAAATCGTAAGAATCTACAGTTTTTAAATGGAATATTCCTTAAGTCTTAGACCCTAAGCCTCATTAGAAGTTCATGGATGACACAACCACAGCGATATCTGTGGAAAATCTGTAATTACATTAGAATTTTGGAATTTGTTGTTGTTTTTACAAATTTACTGATCAGATAGGGTTAGGGCTAATTAAGAACATACAAGATTAGGTTGATATTCCAAAATAAGGCATCAATATAATAGAGGTTGATCTAATGGTGATCTGACATTCCTACCTCCAATATGCCTAATTTATACCACAGGATATAATAAGCATTTGCTTTTTCTATTTCTGTGATTTGGGATCAATCTTGACAAATCAAACATAGCTTTTGTTGTTATTAATTCTAAAAACCATATGAAAGTTTAATAAAAGACAATCTACAATCATTTCAACCAAGAAACTATCTTTGTACCAGTTAAAAAATATGAAAATGTTTAGAATTACTAATGCTAAATTGCAATTATATTTTGTTATTGTGTTATCTAAAATATTAAATTTGTTTTAAACATTGTTCATTTGAGAGATTTGTATATTTCAGGATAGCAGCTCTCCTCCAAATAGAACTGTCAGGTTTCAGCTTGAGCCTATGACTTCTAAGAACACTGGACTCTCAGTACTTCTCGGAATGTACAGCTTGTTATTATAAGCACATTTCTAATTGTCTGACAAAAAGTATGCCATAAAATATTTACTCTATCACTTAAACAGTGTTTATAATTTTTTGTTAATCCTGAATGTTTCTATTCGGTATAAAATTTGGGCTCAAAAATATCATTATACCAATAACAATGTGATTTTTATATCATAAACAACATAATTATATAATAGAAAATATAAGTGCCAGGGGAAAATAATAAATTAGAACAGTCATAAGAGATTACTGGGCTTCCTTTCAGTGGAGGGCTGGGAATAACCATATCCTTCCTGGATAAGTTGTTTCTAAAGGGTGTTCACCTTTGATTATTTCTAAGCTATTTTACAGCTGTAAATTTAAGTTGAAGAGAAGTTATAGTGATGTATATGATTTTTCTGTTACAATTAGAGTGACACTTATTCAATAGAGATGTAATGGATGTGTGCTGTGGATGAGATAATCCCACTCATTACATTTATTTTCCTATAGGATATTAACCAGTTTGGGGTCTGTTATTAAATTGAAGTATTCCTGATTTCCTACACACATACAAACACACACACACACACACATTTGTATATGTGTGTATATGTATCTATTCTCCAAATACTCCTTTGAACCAATTTTAATCTTTTATTAGTTTCATTAATTAGGTCAAATAAAATTTTAGCTTGTGTTCGCTTTATATTAGTACCATAGCCACGATTTTATCTTTTTAAAAATTATGTTTTAGCAGAGAGCTCTTCTATTATGAGCAAATGCATTCAGAGCAAAAGAGGTTATTATTGGGATAATGTTTGTCAATTTTAGACCAAATTTAGCCACATTTGGGATCAAACAGATGGGACTATCTAAATAGTTTGTGAATGTGAATGAGATGATAAATCAGATTTTAGAAAATCCTTAATCTCCAAGTGATACAAGGTTGACTGAGTTAAAGATTTAAACAAAATTAAGACTCTCAGGGATCAGAAAGGTTTTTTGGTGACTAATTGAATCATTCAATGAACCTGGAATATCTGGATTAGCAGGTACTGGAAGTGTGTTACCATACTACTTAATGCTCCTGAAAGCATTTTACGACTAATAGAAAACTAGAAGCATTCCAGACATTATAATATATTTGATTTGTAAAAGGGGGGAAAAACTACAATGCATATCCAAACATAAATACCCAGGCCCAATGTTATGCAAATTTTTAAATGTTCCAAGCAATATACTTTCAACGTATCGCACTCAGTTAGAACTTAGGGAGAGTGAGAATGAATGATCAGACACACCTTTGCAACATAGCCCCCGCCCCCCCCATGACACTGCATTGAAATCATACATACAGTCTGGGCTGGTTTCGAACTCAAACTTGCGGCTGTTGGTCCCGTAGCCGGCTGCTGTGCGGGCCCGGATTTGGAATACATACGTAGTGTCGGGCTTGAGGCTACTGATGGTGACATTTGTGCCTCTTGCCCTCAGAATGGTATAACTTGTCTCTTGCTCCTGCTTTGAGGTAAGAAAGATCACGTTAAAATCAAATCTTTATAATGTATCAAATGGTAAAAAGGTGAATCATTTAAAAACAATTATTTTAAAATTTTATACAGAGCATAGGCAGATAAAAGAGACATGATAATCATTTCACTCTCTGAAGGCATTTTTAAAGATAAAACTATTTCGAGTTTACTAATTTGGATATAATGAATTGTGTGCTGCATATAAAGCAGAAAAGTTAGTTTTCATTCTTATCAAATAGTGAATCTCTGAGCAAAAATCTGTTCTCTTCAAAGCCAAGGCTAAAATTTTCAACCTAATTAAAAGAATAAATTTACAAAGAAGAAAATATCCCTTTGAATTAAACCTAATAAACATGCCCCACTGATTCTCAGATAGGAAATAGTCTATCGATTGTAAAATATTAAACTTAAAAAAATCAAAGTTCTATATGTAGCTCTATAATAATAACTTTCTCAGCAGCAACTGAGTTGTGTTGTATTTGCATTGAACGTAGAAACAAAAATTTCCAGATGAAAGTCTAGAAATATTTTCTCATAAGAATCTCCTCCAGCCCTGCCGGACGTGGTTCAACGGTTGAGCATCGACCTAGGAACCCGGAGATCGGGGTTCGATTCCCGGTCAGGGCACATGCCCGGGTTTCGGGCTCGATCCCCAGTGTGGGGCGTGCAGGAGGCAGCCGCTCAATGACTCTCTCATCATTGATGTTTCTCTCTCTCCCTCTCCCTTCCTCTCTCTGAAATCAATAAAGATATTTTTAAAAAAAGAAATCTCCTCCAGGAGATTCACATTGTACATTAACAGATTCTCACTACATGTTAATAGTAAAGACGTTTTGTGTCAAGCTTTGTTTACAGAAATTGGATTTACATAGATTTACATTTTTTTCCTCTAACATCCTGAGCACTTTATGGATAGCTTGGTTTTGAGTGACTGTGAAATGTCCCTGTATCTAGGGTGGGCCTGGAGCGAGTAAGATGGAATAATGCTTATCCTCAACTGACACTAGATAGAGCATTGCAGAAATAACGTTATAGGTTACACATACTTTTTTGTTAAAGATGCTAGTTATATATTAGATAGACTTGGAGTTGATATATTTAATAATGAAGAGAGTCAAATATATTTATTTTATAGAAAAAATATTTCATTTGTTAATGAAATAGCTCTCACAGAGGTTAAAATCGAGTAAAACAATATTTCTAAGCATCATATATAGGGAAATAACTTTTAAATTTAGGTATGTGTGCTATAAATACTTATATACATATATATAGAATAATATTACATGTATATATCAAAATTTAAAGTGCCTAAGAAACAGTAAGTAGATTTAGCCATTTTTTTCCCCTGCATTGGTTAATATTGTTTAAAAATAACTTTGTGTACTGTGCTTTGTTGGTGGAGTATAAAATAAGTTCAGAATGTTTTTTATATTTGCAAAAGATATGAATGTAGATTCATTATACTTTTTAGATCTATACCCATAGTTCTAAAGGATGGGTGCTTTGTGGTCCTGCTGATTTAACCCCTTCTGAACTAGCTCATCACTACTTTTTTATTTTATTTTGTCACATCATCTGTAACATGGATTCTCCTGTTTCCACAGGTTATTTCATCACACTTTTCAAAAACAGAAGATCATGATCAGATGAGTATTTGACAGCACCCAGTACTGTACAGGATCACTGAAAGCCAGGAGATAACTTATTTATACTATGATTTGGCACACTGAAGTTCATTAGGCCTCGCTTCTTTTTAATGAGAAGAGATACACCTTTTCTGTGTGTGGCGGGGGAGGGGGAAGGCGGTAAGAAGAAAATGGCATCATGCTTGTGAAATAGGTTAACTTCAATAAAAATATACCTACATTTGCAAAGAAATGTTCATACATTATGCCTTTTGTGCAACTGATCATACCACTAATTCTCATGTCTCTAAAGGTCCATTGTTGTGTAGGGGGAGGCAGGTAATACAGGGAAAAACTTACTGATGAGGAGTCATGGCTGCCGGGATTCAAAACAGAGACCTAATGTTTATTAGCAGGGAGGGTGTGAGAAACTCAAATAACTTCACTGACTCCCCATTTTCTTATTTGTGAAAAAAGCCTATTTGCCCACTTTCATAGGATTTTCCAACAGCTCTCAATTAAATAATATATGTAGAAGTGTTCTATAAAATATAAATGACTATATAATGCACAATTTATTTTTAACTCAGTTTACAATACTTTGTAAACTGCAACAAATACACAAATACATTGTATTCATATTAGTAGCTATACAACCACCCAACTTTTATGACAAGGTTTGAATACATCTTGCTTTCAAACCTCACCATAATTTACAACCAGGGAGAAATAAGTGTTATTTAGTAATGAAATATCATGGTTTAAATTCTACTTATAAATAACCATGCACCTATTTTTTATAATTTCATTACTGAACCATAATTTTATGATGTGAGGCAGATTTACACACCAACTCCAGTCTTCTAAATTCTCTTGTACAAAGTCAAGAAAGCTTTTCTTCGTTAGTTCAGTAATAATACATTATTATTAGTTCAATGTTCCTCTCTGTATTGAATAAAATGCATGTGAATGTGCAGGTCAACTAATGATGATTTAAGGCAATGAACTAATGAACAGTTTATCAATGGGTTAAGGAATCACTATGAAATAGTTGGTAGAGCAACAGGTTGTGTGTTTTTTTTAATATATCTTTATTGATATCAGAAAGAGGAAAGGAGAGGGAGAGAGAGGGATAGAGAAACCTTGATGTGAGGCAGACACATCAATTGGTTGCCTCTTTCAGGAGCCCCTACCAGGGTTGCAATGGAGCCCACAACCGAGATGAATGCCTTTGGCCAGGATTGAACCCAGGACCTTTCTTCAGTGCGAGGGCCAACATTCTCACCACTAAGCCAAAACAGCCACGGCCATAACTGCCATTTCTAATACCATAACTAGATGTCTTTAGTTTGGTAGTAACATCTCTGCTGTGGATCATTGAAGTAGAATGGGGGATATTCTATGAATAATTTCTGAACCTGTCTTTACATATAAGTCAAAGGTACCACATGACCACGGATTTAAACAAAGCCCTACTACTTCTCAGCAATGCCATTCATTTCTTTGCAAGAGCACAGCTCATGAGTAGGTATCCTCTTCCCCTGCACAACCCAACCCCATCGCTTCAGCTCCCCACCTTTTCATAGTATTTGACCTCGTAGTCCAATATGATCCCATTAGGGTGTTCGGGTTCTTGCCAGGATAAAGAGATGCTGTTTCCCGATGTCCGGTCCTTCTTAATTGTCATGACAGGTGACGGAGCTGTAAAGACAGAATGGAGGGGACCATAGGAGGGGGCAAGTTAATCAGGTTGTGAAGGTGGTAAAGAAGAGAGGAGAGTGAAGGGAACAGCAAACGGAGTCTATCATTGTTCAAATTTTTGGCAAGAAAACACTATTTCCATTTCAAAGGCTCTTGAGTATTAATCTGGCCCCATATCAAGCCTCAGCAGCTGGATTATAGCCCTGGTACATACAGGCCTATGGAAAATGAGCTGAGATTTTCAGCTGCTGGTGGAATAGTGGCAAGTGAGCAGATGTTTTCAATCTGCTACTCTAATGTAAGCAATGAAATATATTTGATATATTAAACTAAGAACAAAACATCAGGACTACCTATTTGTTATAATGTTGCAAAATTATTAATTCCAGATTCTTCAGCTCATTGATAACATTTTCATATGCAACTCTGTAAGAGGACTGGAAGCCATTATTCACAAAGAGTCCCATGGTATCTATAGGTAATAATAATATTTAGTGTATTGTAAAATAGACAGGATTTAGGACATATAGTAAGACATACCTTGACTTCTGACAACAATCTCTCATGAGTAAAAATATATATCAGGAAAATGTAATAATCTGCTTTTACATTTTTTATTTCTTTAAAAATATTTAATAAGAACTACCAAGGAAATGACTGCCTATTGTTCCACAGCTCTCAAGCTATATTTTGAACTTTGTTATTGGGCGGTGACTCAATAGTTATTACGTATCACTATGCATTATCAAAAGTACAGAATATGAATAAAAAACCACCTGCTTGGATCAGATATTATAGGGTCACCTTCATTTCTAATGGAAGATTACATATATTTTAAGTGATATCCTACTTCAAATCCTTCCATTAAAAAGAAAAAACACGTGCTCTCCATCAATGCACTTCTGGTTTCAAATCTCAAACTTGGTAAACTGGCCAACTGAAATATCTCATTTGGGGTTCAGCACCATTCTGCTTTAATGGAATACAGGAAAATAAATTGCAAACATGAAAAAAATAAAAAATTCTTAAGTACATTAATAGTTGAGTTGTTTTCATTGCTAAAGGACCTATTTTCTTATATATATTTTTCTCAAATCAATGACTATTAGAACCTAGTGTGTCTGTATTTCTCACAACAGCTATCAGATTTGTTGATTTGATGTTTCTGTGATGATCACATGCCAACTTTTGTATGCCCAGCCTCTCATTTAAATCATTCCAGTTTATAAATGTCTTTAATTTTTATTCCACACTTAAAAATCATTTCATTAAGCTTGCCTTCTGACACTTTATTGGAAAATGTAAACCTAAATGAAGAACTTGTTGCAATAAATTTCTGATCCTTCTATTTCTATTACTTGTAAAATATTCTTATGAAATCTTTTGTAATTAAAGCATCATTACTTTGATTGATTGCCAAGAAAAAATGTAGGTCTTGCTTTTCTGATGGAAAAGTAAATTCATTTTCTTATTTACCTTTTGTCCCCATTAGCAATTAATATCCTTTCATGAAACATCATTTTCCACTCATGTTTGCTTTTCTTTTATTCAGTATTATTGTGTTACACCCAAAATGGCCTCACAACACCCCTATCCCTCACCCTGGGGTGGTTTGCTGCTCTGAAATTGATTATAAGCAAAGGGTAGTTTATTTTGGTTATATTTAGTTGAAATTTTATAAACACACTCAAAAATTATAAATGTATCACTGAGTCATAAATAATATATTTGTTAAATTATGGAGAATTATTTTCTTTTTATTTATTCTAATACTTAGAAAAATCAATTCATTATCCAATTGCTAGTAGAAAAATTTCTGCCCCAATGTCCTTGGATCCAAATTTTGCTTTCTACACAAATAATAGAGAAATATCACAAATTTTCCTGCTAAGGTAAACCCATTCTAGAGTAACTAAAGTATGCTTGCAGGGCATTTCAAAGGAGCTGAATGTTGGAAAACTTTCCTGGTAAACCCATGGAGACCCTACATTCATTCCATATCACCTTGAATATGATTTATTTCCTCTAACACTTAAAATACATTTTCAAAGAAGCTTTCAAAATGACCAGGTATAACGTCTCTCCTTAAAGAGAAAGAGAAAGTAATTCATTTCAAAGAACAATTGTGGCGAAGGTTGTATTAACTTTTTCATGAAAGCTTTGCAGGCTGTTTTGGGGATCTGCCCAAATTTTACTGCCTCTACGCTGAGCAAGACTTTATAACTGTTTAAATTCTTCAAAGGCTTTTGAGCGAGCTGCGGAGCCCTGTTGGACTGTAATAAATAGCCTTTTGTAATTCCACACTTACTTAAGGAGAGGCAATTGCTCAAAGCTTGTGTCATCTCTAAGTTAAATGAACCTTTTCTGATTGCTGCTTTTAGGCCCCTGTTAAGTCATTTGTTCTGCTCTTTTAATATATGCACCTCGTGCTGGCCCCATTTCAACAGTTTCACCCCAGTGCACCAGCTGGAATCCCGGTACATTTGGGCAATGCTCATCAATATTTTAATATTAATAAATAATTAACAGAAGCTGTTTTTCTCTCCTCTAATAAATAATTTTAAGACATAATAAAACACTGTTAGAAAGAGACAAATTTTATGGGCACTCTTCTGTATCCATGCTCTCTAAAAAGTTTTCTAGAACACTTTTAAATTCATGTCTTGAAGTGTAACTTACCCATACTTCCTCATGTGCATATTATTAAAACTTATAATAACAGTGAAAAACAGTGATACAGATTGTTTTTTTAAATTAATTTTCAGGTGCCAAAGAGTGATTTTTCAATGTACTGATTTTCAAAGTCCCCAGAAGTTCCTTAAATTTATTTAGCTCTGTCTAAACTAACATGATATTACAGTGTATATCATAAAATAGTTGTGATTTATTTTATTCCCACTTCTCGGTTTTTAAAATTTGTGACTTGAAAGAATGGTGGATAATAGTTACATGAAATGAAAAAGAAATCAATCTTAAGACTAGAGAAATGCTCAGAACTACAGTGACAACTTATATAGAAGGAGGAGGTGGCATAGGTTTTCCAGGGCAAGATGCTGGCCTATAAGTTAATATTGTAATTACTGGTGAACACTCCAATATCCCAGGATTAAGAGTTTAAATCTGGTGCCTATTATATATACCTTACATGATACAAATGATTCTCTTGTTAAGAGGAAGAAGTTAACAACACAATAGGTTATTATGAAAATGGCCTAGATTGGGGGGGGGGACTGGAAACCAGAAAAATTAAAACAGTAGAATAGGAAGGTAGTTACTTTTAGTCAGTTAATGGTCCACTTTAAATAATGTGTTGGTCTGTAACATATATTTTGTTGTATTGATTGGTATTTAATAGGAAACAAATATTTCATTCTTAGCTTTGCTATTTATTCTGGGTACAATCGGATATATGTCCCTTTGGAAAATACAGAAAGGAAACATGATATACCAGGTCAAATTAAATGTATTATATTTTAACTGAAATATTTCTTAAAAGAATACAAATACAAAGGGACAGCAGTGAAGGTTCGGAGGGAAGTAGTGAAGGTTAGAAAGGCTCATAGATCACACAGTCAATCATCCTCCACGAAGCTTTCCTCAGCTAAACTTCTGAAGAGTTCTGAACATCCCAGTATTAAAATAATTCTGAGTTTGTCCTGTCACCGTGGACAAGCTCATGGCTCTTTCAATTCCTTCATCCTTAAAATTTTTCTTTGGTCGTGACATAGGACTAGACAGATATTTTCACCGTCTGTTACCTAGTAATATGTGTCTCACAAAAACTATATCAAAATGCTTTTTGATTTTTGTTCTGAGGAGACACAATTTTCCAGGGCCGAGGGTTGGGTTATTTACTGTTTTCTGCCCTAGTTCCTGTGGTGGCAGCCTCTTGAATCAGAACCATGCAATGAATGGCCCAAAAGACAGACACAGAGAAGTATAGCCCTCAGTGGTTAACAATAGGAGCCCGGTCATTTATTTATAGAGGAAGGGCAAGATTTTCTCTCATTGCCAATGTAACCTGAGCCATCGACTGCATCTAATGAAAGAACAGAAAAACAAATTACAGTAGGAAGCAAAAAAGTTAGGCTAAAAAAAGTTTCCATGTAATGGGATAGGGCTGGAGATGGGGCTTGCGTAGTTCACAATTTGTATTCGAGCCACACTCTGTCCTTGTGCCAAATCTCCTGACGGACGTGGAAGGGGTTCATTATTTTACCTATGGTGTTTTTAAGTTACATTGACTATTATTCAGCAACTAAAATATGGCCCATCCTTAGAATCAGGAAGTCAAAACTTCAAACTTCAGCTCCTGACGGATCCGGTTTGGTTCGTTTGTTTTTGTTGGGACTTTCTTCTTTCTGAGTTCGGGAATTTCTAATGAACCTCTGAGGTATCTCTGCGGTTTAGAGATTGGACAAGTTAAAGTAATAACAAAAAGGGCTCAGGATTTCTTTTCTAAGTGAGCCAAAGCTTTTAAAAATTATCTCCATGGGAAAAAAATCAAGCAGTAAATGGTTGAAAGACTTTTCCTTTGAATCAGACATGCCTTTAAAAGCATTACTCCCTTATTTTTTTAATTTTTTTTGTACCATTCATTACAATGCCCACTTAAGAACATTTCCTTCTCAGTTTTTTTCAGAAGTGAACGCTTCTATTAAATAGAAACACTGTTGAGTTTGAATTAGCATAATCATTCATAGCTTAATGTTCTCCATCTCAGCAACCCTATTCTGATATCCCCAACCTGTCATGCTCCAGAAGTTCCTGTTTGGGTCCCAAGACTCACCATTTGTAGTTTGCCCAGTTTGAGTTTCAGAATTGTCCTTCTATATATATTCTCCCTCACCAAAACCTTGCACGCCAATCTGCTTCCACATCTGAAGGCTAGTGAATTTTCTTTCTAGTTTCCCAGCCCTGCCTTAGTGCAAACCCTTGCCATTTTTCATATGCATTGTATTCTGTGCTTTTCATCTCCATCTTTCCAGAACTTCAATTTT